TTTTTTCTTCGAAGTTGTCCACGCCCCGCAATAAAAAGGGCAACGAATTTAGAACTATCGGTTCGATCGTTTTATAAGTTCTGCCAACTTGAGCTCGCGTCATGCAAGTGTAAAGTAGCAATTATGTACGAATGAGATGAATTAATTGCCAGGTGAGGGTTGGATCTATTGAGAGAGTGTCACACAAACACTCAAACATTACGGTTTTCACAAACTATTCTCTCAGCTCACAGAAAAAAGATGGTAGCTATGTTAGATGTGTCTGTATCCAGCGAGATGTTTTTAAAGCAACGAGAGCGCTTTGAAAACAGATGAACGACAAGGCAGACTTGTGAGACGATTACCGCAGTTGATCTAATCACAGTTCCTATCTTGACCCGTTTAGCAGAATATCCGCCATGGTCGCGAATGAAAAGAAAGTCGATAGTAGTTTAAAATCTCATAGAAATCAATGGTTGATCTTTCGAGGAGTCCGCAATACGGTAAGTGAATAGACACAACTTATGATATACAGAAGGCTAGAAGAAGAGGAACGAGTCACGACAAGCCTGTGCAACAACTGCTTTCCGTTTTTTAGGCCGTGCGCCGGAACGGGATGATTAACGACGCGGCCAATCAATCGATTTCACGAGCCGCTCCAACCACCGCTGCGCTGCTGGGGTTCGCCCAGGTATGTTTGGTAGGGGAACGCAATATTCGTTCGCCGATGAGCATTGCGTAGTAGCAGGCTTAGTTAGGGGAGGAAAGCCCGATTGAGGAAGAGTTTGGAAAGAAAAACGGGGAAAAACTAGGGAAGAAGATCCTCTACACGAAACAGCTGATAAATCATCGCATTATAGAAGCCGATGCAATCGACCTTGGCATTGGCACAGTGCCAAGAAAACAGCACCGATAGAAGTGCAGCAAAACAGAGAAAAGCGATGCTGGCAGCGCGCCAACAACCCTCGTGAGCACTGGCCAGGAAGACCAAAAAGCGGCGGCCAAAGAAAACAACATCCACGAGACAGCGTAGAAATTTGGGAGACGCGGATGACAAGGGCAAACGAGACGAGACGAAAACATAGAGTGCATTGATGAGAAGGCGAGAAGGCAAGTGTGGTCGCCGCGGAGACGCAGACAGCAGACGCGGAGGTCAGGCGGACGGCGCTGCCAGCCTGGCACAGAGCCAAGCCACG